AAAACTTTTTTTTTTTCTAAAAAAGTCTCTCTCTATCTTAAAAAAAGGAAAAAGCAAAATTTCAAAAATCTGACAACGCCATCGTGTTCCCCGACCCCGATTACCTTCGGTGAAACCTGTCTCTACAGATACTGTTTGAGGTTTGTGAAGTTTATGCATCTGCTTTCCTATTGGACGAACGAACTTACGAACTTACGAACTTACGAACGAACGCATTTAACTCGTTTTTCGTAATACCCTCCTTTCAGTAGAGGGAACTATAATTCAGATGCTTTGACATTAAATCGTCATTCTCATTATCCTAAAATAAATCATATAAATGATAAAAACTATGTATGTCTGTTCTCAAGTCGATTTTGAACCTTAATTTCATCATTTGTTGCTACATCTAACATCAATTGAAGTAAATCCGTTTGTTTCTTTCCAGATTTTAATCTTTCTCTTACTACACTTCCCACTTGTTTCATAATCCATACATTAGGCATGCATAAGCCAAGGCATCATTGAACGAAGTTTATCAACAAGGAACATACGAGATTTGACCGATAGAACTAGGAGCGGAGTAAGAAACGGCATAACAGTAGATAATTTGACGATAAAAAGTTTCTCTATCTGAATAGCCAAAGTAGCAATTGATTTTTTCATATAAATGTTATTGATATCGTTTTGTATATCGGTTTCGATGCCAAACATGCAATTCCCTACATATATGCCAATTACATAGATGCATGTTTCATGAGAAATAACAAATAATTTTATACTCAATATTATATCGAAATTGAATAATCCTAATCATATCCAACTCTATTTAGTTGAAAGTGACTTTAAATTAAGACTAAATCAGATGGCAATTCAATCTAAGCGATTTAACCTAGGCTGACTTACAAATAGTATCCATAGTCAAACACTTATATAGACTAAATATGTTGAATTCTTAGCCGTTCATCTTGTCATCTTTCACCATCAACGATTGGATGCATTTAGTTAGAAGGGGCATCATAATTTTCAATTTTGCTGATGTAAAAGTTGGATTGATAAAGTGTCTTTGGCGTCGCCATTGATTGCCTTTTGGAAAAAATAGATGTGATCCTTTGCCTTGGAGTATTCTTGCAAGAAAATTTAAGGGACGAGAATGAAAGGATGAGATTTGCTTTATATAAACGTCTTGTAGAAAATCAACATCAAATACAATATAGACTGGATGTGTTCCTTCGAAAATACCATAAATCGAGCCATATCGACGAGTCCAGTCATGGATCTGTTCGAAGGAAAGAGGTGCATTCCATAGTTTGAGTAAGTGACCCTGGAATATTCCGTTGGACGAAATAGTTATAGCGAGATTTGAACGTCCACACATAACTAATAAGTAGAACGATGAAAGCAGAAAATAATATGCTTGTGATAAGCATGTTGTCGTGTCTTAAAAAATGCATTCCCAGGTAAAAAGAGCATTCGTTTTTTGGTTTTTATCTCTTTAATATCAAATATGCGCCTTGAATGGCGCACTTTAGTCTTACATGACCGTATCAACTTTAAACATCACTTTTATTATTTTTGATACAATCATTCTCTTGCACGAGATTTCCGATTAGACAATGTAATTAAGTATGACGATCATTGTTATGACTTTTTCGTAATGGATGGTTTTAGAAAGGAAATCCTCATATGGGATCGGTATAGATACTTGCAAAGTAAACGACGTATATTGAGAGTAGAATATATTTGATAATAACTAAAAAGGTCAAGTAAAATTAAAGTTTTGAAAAAAATTGATGACGAAAAAGAAAAAGAAAATTTTAGAAAGTAAAATTAACCGATATCTTTGTAGACTGTCTTCCTTATCTTTATTACCATCACACCTTGCTACGAATGATAAGAACGAAGAAAAGAAAAGGCATTCGATTAATCTCCATTGTACATTGTGCATCATACTCTCTCTCTCTCAGTCAAGCTTTTCCTGGTTACATATCAGAGCAAATGTTGACTCTGTACATTGACAAATATGTAATTAAGTAAAATTGTTGTTCAAAATCAATAGATGAAATTTCAGAGAAATTTTCTCATCAATACTTTCACACTGGAAGTAGTTGAAAATTCTAATGATTTGTCTGATTTATCAAAGAGTTGTTTGTGCTGTCGAAGTCAATGATGGGTGGGGGTGTCAATGTGAGTATGTTTCTCACTGGGTGAATATCAACACCCACACCCACATTCGAGTTTTACAGTGAAGAAGAGAGAGAGAGAGAGAGAGAGAGAGAGAGATATCTGTATCTATTCACGTGAAGTGATCGATGATATCTTTTATCTGTTGAGTAGCCCGAAGTTCGTCAATATGACTTTCGCCAATACTGGCGAAACTTCCTCACATTCTCAATTATTAGAGCAGATGATATTTATATATCATATGGACTCTTCCCTATTCTAATACAGTTTCTATTATGTTCTTGCCGGCTTGCCGAACGTACATCAACTTTGGATTCATAGTTGAATGGTTCAACGCCTGTCGTTATTAAAGTGAATTTTTCGAGTCAATAATCGTGAATATTCGCGAATGTCCACCTAAATTTCATCACTATACCTCATGGACATTCGCCAGTGCACCACCTGGACTCTCGCCAATAATTGGTAAAAGTCGTATTGGCGAACTCCGGCGATCCTGATCTAAAGAGGCACTGATTAACAATTGTGTGATTTCTTCAATATAGAGAGTTTACAAATAGATGACAAAATTCGACAATTGAAAGAAGTAGATACAAAAAAGATTCTGAAACGATATTCACCGAAAGATTTTTCATCATGATGATAAGAAAAAAAACACGAAGATTCATTTAATATTTATCGGTAATATTGGCGAAATATGGATATCAATTACTGAGAGAAATCGAACTGTTGAATCGGAAATCAAATTCAATCATTTTGATCTGATGGTCAAGAAATGTTTTCATTTGAAGAATATCTTCATTATTTGATAGAAGCAAATAAACAAGAAATCGAACTATGGTAAGGCAAAAGTTAACCTTTTATTTTATCTGACAAAAAAAAAATGGCGTTGACAATAGAAATGAAAAAAAATAACCATCGTGAAAGTGAACCCATTTCAATGATCTTCTGATCTAAAGAGACAAAAAAAAGCATATAATGCGTGCAACGATAATATTGATGAATACCTACGGTATAATCTCATTGAGTAATTGAAAAAGTTGTACTACACCACTTTCGGTGTTGATAAATTGAAAAAGGACCAAGCAGTTGTGTCGTGCATGTTGAATTAAGTAATACAATCTCCTTTTACCACATTTTAAACTTTCACAAATTTGCTCATAGATTCTCTCCGGGTCCGTGCCTAGAATTATCAGAGAATGAAAATCAAATGGATGAGGAATGGTAACTTACCAACTTGGGGACAACAATATGTCGCCAAAAATAATTTAATCTTTTTTGTTCTCATTTTAGAAGCTTCAACAAGAGCTGTAGTTTTCAATTGTCGCTCCATCGCTGCCGTTTGCTTCGATGCTTCTGTATCTGGTGTGATAGGAGCAACGCTGATTCGAAGATTCGCATTATTCGAATCCAATGATCTCACACTACCTAAACTATTGGATCGTGACAAAGAGAGTTTCAACTATTTATTATTGTCAGGAGGCGAGATCGAAGCATCTAAAAGAAAATGAAAGGATAAACATATTATTGGAACGATCATCTATGATTAATTACCTTTGCTTGTCTTCAACTGAATTCTTTGGTTTTCGTTCGTCTCGTACTTTCCACTCGTGAGTCCAATTTGCGAATGATTATCGGAAGTAATGCTGCTTGTTCGATAGCCGCCTGAAAAATAAGGTCATATCCCTCAACAATAAACAAATGAGGCTATACCTGATTGCCGTGTGTGTTCCAACACCCAGTAAACAACTTGAGCACAAATGACCTTGTCTTAAACCTTCAATATTGAATAACTCTTCTACAAAGAGGGTACATTTGACATTGGCTTGTTGTGCTGGTTCCTTTGATGAAAACAACTCAGGTCGAACAGTACGATCCGTATACGGTTACTTTACGACTATTTTTCGGGCGACAGTTTGCCGTAATATCTGGCGCAGTACTACGGACCGTATGATCATGAGATTACCGATCACAAACAGCCGTAAACCATGAAAATTCAGTCCCGTTTACGGTGCCGTATTACTGTGCCAGGTATTACTGGCAAGTACGGCCTATTTACTGCCGTAAATATACCGTTTTGATATCTTTTACCGTCAATAAACAGACTGTAAACGAGTCCGTTTTGATCAACCTGGGAAGGCATAGAAAATATTTTCAACAATTCTAATTCAATGATGGAGTTTGTCTCACCACTTTCGAAGATGTGGAGGCCTCCATGAAATTGATTTCAACAATTCAGAAAAAATCGGAAATGAAACATGACACTCGATCATACGTATTCTATCTGTTGTACTCACCTTGACCAGCAGAGAGTGAAAATGAATTCGAATTCGAAATAAACAAAGACGATTGTATATGTGTAATACACAATTGAACAAGAAAAAAATATACTATACAAGCTATTATCTCTCGATCTGAATGTGATTGGTTCCTACGGTGACTTGAATTCAAAAGTTCTTATGTCAGCTGCTGGCCTCACAACATAGATGAATCTGAAAATGTTTTATTAGAATCAAATTAGCTGCAATACTTCATAAATAAGTGAACGTTATTTAATTGACTATTCAAAACATCCGAACATGTGCGCTATCTATTGATATTTTCTTCCTTTTTTTAAAATGTGTGAGCAAGAAGTATTATTTTATGTAATTAGACATGTGTTTTTTTTTGAATCAATTAAAGACAATGTCTGTGAATTTGTGAACTGAAGCAACACGATAATATTGATGTTATATGAAATAGGATCCAGTTTGATTTTGACATTGATATAAACGTAAAAGACGAAACAAACGACATGATACTTGTTTTGTGTTCCATTGGGTAGATTTGCTTATAGTTTCTCTAAATGACGATGAACTATCGCGCCATATCACGAATTTCAAGAAAAATCTGCTTCTTGATGAAAATGGTACTAACGTAAGACAATACAAAGAGATCGAAGAATTAACAAGACTCTCGGACATTTTCCCACTTGGTGGTTATTCCATCGTCGACAAGCCATCATCGTTTGCTGTTTACACGTGATGAATGTTGAAGGTGGCATTTTTCGTATCAACAACTCTCGACGGTGACCAATAGATTACAAACAAGCTTGAAGAACAATCAATGATGAATGGGTCTCATGTAGTTATGTAACGATAGTAGCATATAAATTATATCTATCTAATAAAGATATGTATTTGAATATCTCTGTATGAACATATGACTTACGCTTACACACAAAGAAATTCATGTCACACGTTTGTTCGCATACTACCATATTTATTTTGCAACTATAGGTAAATACTACCAGTAAGCCACACGTTATATAGAATGGTCTACCAATGATTAGTAGGTGATTCTTTTTCTATTTTTGTGGGTTGAATCCTATGATAATGGCAATCTACTGATGGCAAAGTCCATAAGTCATAAAAAAAACTATTTTTGTTGAATATGAAAACTGATTAAACAGAGTTTAAATGATTTTTTGTTTGTTTTAAAATTGGAAAAATATCATGTTTGGAATAGCATCCAAAACTATTTTTCAACAGTTTGATAATCATTTAGTTCCATATATATTTGTGCACTAATTAGACAATAAAATTTATTATCAAATTGAAACATGTAAAAAAAAGTATTATATTGATTTATTAATTTTTGATATAAAATATTCATTTTATCTTATCTATCAATAAATGAAGGTAATTGAATATTATTCATTATACTTATAATAAATTGATCATTTGTTGTTAATGTTGAACTATTCCACATTTGTATAATTAAATCACCAGCTTGTTTAGCTAATTGATGATTATATTTGTAAATATCTGTGTTCATTTGCAATTGTTTGTCGAAAATCTAAAGGATCTGATACAGTCAAATAAGAACTATATAATCTTTTATTCCAAGCCACAAAATTCATTTTGAAATGATTGTAAATAACCAAATGATCAAGTTCAATTTGAACTATTTGTTCTCTCGTTTAAAAATTTCTGTTGAAACATATGATAATGTTAATTTAACTATTCCATATGCAACATTATAATATAACATAGGTTTAATGATTTAAGAATTGAATTAATGGCAGCTGATACATTATCAAGTATAACAAGATAATCTGGATCACAATTAACATATTTACTTAAAACTTTTTGTCGTAATTTTTCCATTGCAACTTGAGCATCTAAACGGAACCATCGATCAGGATTGTCTTCATCGTTTAATTGATATTCTTGAAGTTTTTTATGTACATATTTTGGTGCTGAACCATATCAACCATGATTTATATTTACATATATGATGGATCAAGATAAAAAAGTGGTCATAATGAATGGCCAAATGGATAAACAGGAATACTTAACTAACTAAGAATAAAATTTGCATAAATAAATATCTTCATTTTTTTTTTTTGAAAATAAATCTAGATTATCATTAGATATTCTTTACTTATGTTATCAACAATGAAAGGAAAACAATATAATGTTCACCTTATCTTTTCTGCTGTCTTTTATCTTCTAATATAAGGTTTCAAGAAACTGTATTTTCGATAAAGTTCTAAACAACAATAATAATAAATATTTTAATTTTCTTTATCATCGAATTGATACCAAGAGAATATTGTACAATGATATGTTGAAATAGAATCTTAATACTATTAATTATATGCATAAATAATGTCATCAAGCACCCTGATTAACTATAATATCAATTTCAAATTATATTTGTATCACGATTCGATCAATTTAATACTTACAGAGATTTATTTTGAAAACTATTCATTAGTTATTCACGTATATTATACTTTTTTCTTGCCAATGTAACTTAGCCTATTCGAGTTTTTCTTAGTAATAAACGAAAATATTTTTCATTTGTTCGTTGAATTTATTTTTTGTTGAAACTCTCACTAAATGACAAATTTGCCAAAAGAACGACATAGATGTATAAATAAACAGAAATAATATGATTAAATGATCAATCGATAGATAAATGAAAAATAACGGCGGAGAATTATTAGTGTTATATAGCAATTTTAACTGCATTATTAATCTTAACGATGTTTTCTCTACTTATATGAAAGGACTTGAACAGAGATGTGAGTTAAATGTTGATCAATAAGAATAAATCTCAATTTCGACTAGTGAGAACTCCAAGAACGTACGTTCTCATATTCAGCAGATCATTTTTTTCTAAAAATTCTTCTCTTCAATGCATATTCATATGAAGTATTTTTCTCTGATTCTCTCTTTCAACGGTCAATATTTCAGTTTAAATCATTTCAGCAAAGATTGATAAACAAGTGAATAAGTGATCAGAAGTATGGATACAAATAATTTGAAAAGTTTTTCTTCATTTTACAATAAATCTTGCATCAATTATAGTTATTTAAAGTGAATAGCTCGAGACGGTTAGTTTTTTTTAACGGTTTTAATGATGGTAACCATAGAGATGTTTTATTGCACACCTATCGATTAAAATATGATAAGAAGTCATTGAATGATGCAATTATCTATTCTTAACTTGATTATTATTTTTCTGGTTCATAATGTTGAAGAAAATAAATGAGACACGAAACATTTCATGCTATCATACAGTTGATATATCACTAAAATTACTGGAAATTTTGACATGGTGCCCGTTGAGCGAAAATAAAAATAGCGAAAAAAGAAGCGCCAAAATTATAACAGCGAAAAAAGATTTTCAGCAAAGAGATATTCGCTCAATGGACACCATAGCTAATTGATGTATGCACGTTTTTGTCATTTATAGCAACACTAAAGCCTACACCCTCTTCACTTATTACGAGAAGATTTAATTTGTTTTGATAGGCAGGAAAAAATCAAACCATAAAATTATATAAAACACAAGTAAATCAATAAATTTCTATGTTTTATAAATTTCATGCAAGTTTATATGATAAAAATCATTCGAGACTAATGTTAATAAGTTTAATTTCATCGTTTTTCAAGTTTCACATAGATGGCCTGTGGTCTCGTGATATTTGTTTCCTCGATGATCATGCCTTGGTGGAGCTTATCACCAGGTAATACATTATATGTATGTAATAAATGTGCTAAACACATTTTCAGTTCCATCAAAGCAAATCTCATACCGACACAATTTCGAGATCCAACACCAAACGCTAGATAGGCTGCAGGATGGCGTTTTGTGATGTGGCGTTCGGGAACAAATAAATTAACATCTTCAGGCCCCCATAGATCAATATTACGGTGAATCGAGTAGATGTCCGGCATGATTGTAACGCCTGAACAATCGCAAGTAACAAGAGCAATGTGATGATGGTCTTACCTTTTTCTACTTGATGACCACAAACGTTAGTTGTTTCATTACATCTTCGAGTTCTTGCTCTGCCCGACAATGCATACAACCGTAGGACTTCTCGTATAAATAAATCCATATAGGCCATATTAGTAAGCACATCATAATCAGGTTCTTTTGCATTTTCTTGCCAATTTTCATCGATTTCTTGTTGTAATTTTTTCTGAACTTCAGGTTCAGTAGCCAAAACATACGTGGAAAAGGCTAAGGCAGTTGCAGTTGATTCATAACCAGCGACCATAAAAAGAACAACGTTCGATAATACTTCACTGTAATGCAAGTGCTTTGTCGTTAATTCTTCGTTTTCATTATCCTAAAATAAATCATATAAATGATAACAACTATGTTTGTCTTTTCTCATGGCGATTACAAACCGTAACTTCATCATTTTTTGCTACATCTAACATCAATTGAAGTAAATCCATTTGTTTCTTTCCAGATTTTAATCTGTTTCTTACTACATTTCCAACTCTTTTGATGATCCATACACTTGGCAGGTCTTCAACATTACGCATAAGCCAAGGTATCATTGCACGCAGTTTATCAACAAGAAACATACGAGCTTTGATCAGTAGAGTTAATAGTGGAATAAGAAATGGCATGACATTTGATAATTTGACTACCAAAAATTTATCTAACTGAACAGAAACACTAAGAGCTGATTTTTTCATATAAATATTATCAATATCATTTTGCATATCTGCATCAATACCAAACACACAATTCCCTATATACATGTAAATTGCATTGGTATATGTTTCAAGAAAAATTAGAAACTAACAAGTGGCCTATAAAAAAACGATCACCTCAATATCTTATCTAATTTCGACTGATTCGAAATGAACTTTCTAGAGATAAAATGCGACAATATAGCCATGAAAGTAATACTGTGGCTTTCGAATATAAGCATAAAATGCTGATGTTCTGTTTTGATGTTATCTCTTATCTATTTGGAATCATTTTTCAAACAAAGATTAATTACAGAAAAGAAGAGTTATATGTAAATGATGTTTATTTCATACAAGAAGATTTCATTATGGAAATTTTAAAGCTTTACAAATTCTGTACTTTAATTTTTCTATATACTTCCACGCAAGCATTCACCAATATAGGAGACATTCGTTTTCTTATTGAAAACTGTAGGACTTCGATACTCGTTTCTTTGTGGTTCGTGTGTTATTTAGAAGTCAATTCTCTACTAAAACAGAAAAATCGTGATTGTATCGAACTCCATTTCATTTAAAACGACTTTGGATTATCTGAGAATGAGACAATAGTTTTACTTACAAAGAACATCCATGGTCAACCGTTTATACAGAATAAAAATATTGAATTCTTGACCGTTCATTTCATCAAGTTTCACCATCAACAATTGGATGCATTTATTCATCAGAGGTGCCATAATTTTCAATTTTGCTGTGGTAAAAGTTGGATTTATGACATGCCGTTGACGTCGCCATTGATTGCCTTGTGCAAAAAATAGATGTGATCCTTTGCCTTGGAGTATTCTTGCAAGAAAATTTAAGGGACGAGAATGAAAGGATGAGAATTGCTTTATATAAACTTCTTGTAGAAAATCAACATCAGATACAATATAGACTGGATGTGTTCCTTCGAAAATACCGTAAATCGAACCATAAAGATGCGTCCAATCACGGATCTGCTCGAAAGAAAGAGGTGCACTCCATAGTTTGCGTAAATGGCCGAAAAAGAATTGTGGTGGCGGTCCTGGGATATTCCACTGAACGAAATAGTTATAGCGAGATTTCAATGTCCGCACGTAACTTATAAATAGGATGATGAAAGTACCGAATAATATGCTTGTCATCAACATGTTGTTGTGTCGTGAAAGTGATTGCTCAGGTAAAAATGTTTCAAGCTATAGAATGTAAAAAAAACATTTTTTCTTTTGCCACTTGCATAACATGAAATTTACATCGCAAATATTAGGCTTTCGCATGCCATCACTGCGTGTACACGGAATCTTAGATCTATGCTGGTCTTAGGGAAAAGTTTTATTTATCAAGATTATTTTCTTTCAACAGAGTTCGAATTTAATGTTCGGATGAAACATTACATTTATAATTATGATAGGCATTCATTCTATGAGCTCACTTAATTTATTGGTGTGCCGTAGGGAGGTTGAAAGAAAAATGTCAAAAGGAAAAATGTCGAAGGGGAAAAATGTCGAAAAGAAAAATGTCGAAGGGGAAAAATATCGAAACGGAATAATGTCGAAAAGCCTTGTAGAACGGGAAAAAATGTCGAAGAATATATTTTGCCACAAAAGATGTCAAAACTCGAAATAAACGAAATAGCGATGTCTACAGTAAATGATGACTCTAAACACAAATAATTCTACTAGTCTAGATTTTGCACCTCTTGTAACAGTGATGATTAATACTTGATAATAGATTAAGTGAACAATTCCTACAAAAGAGTAAATATATAACTAAAATTCTACCATTATGGCTACAGCTGTCGCATCTTCAGAAGATGAAACTCAATCAAAGTCACCCACTATTTCATTTATTAATTCACAAAAAGGAAAATAATTGCTAATAGCAAATGAATATATTTCGATTATCATATGTTAGTATTAACGTACACAATGAAACATACTTCTCTCAAGTCAGAATTCGGGAACACTCTTTTCGATCATTTTCCACAACAATATATATTTTTCGACATTTTTCCTTTCGACCTTTTGATGGCCAACCAATTTATTTATCTTTCAGCGCACTAGAAAAAAGCATTGCTGTAATAGAATAGCGCTGAAATCGTGAAAGGCAAACAGTAATCAAACAATAAAAAAAAACAACGTTTTCATAATACTTCACAAGTAGAGTCCAGAAATTCTACGGTTAATCTTTCTATAGTGATATACGAATTTGATTAACTGAATTGTAACAAATAGTCTAAAGACAATTTACGGTGAATGTTTATAACAATCAGCTGTTACTGTACTGGCTGTGAGTGAAGAAATAGGACATGTTATAGTAACCTTGTGAATGTCTTAGCGGTACCAACAAAAAGAACCTATCAGAAGCAGTTGAAATAAAATCTGCTTTTCATTACTGAGGAGAGTTTTTGCGCTGAACAGATGAAGATGTGCTTGAAAGATTTCATATTCTACTTTAGTAGGATTCTTCGAGTATTTAGAAGCATTATATGTTGAGAGAGTGAAAACATGTTTTTAATAAATATCCTTCATTTGAAATATTTCCTTTCTCAAGGACATTTAGTATTCTCTCAAAAACTCTATAGCTTTTTTTATGATGAAACGAAAGTAATTTAACGCACGCAATAAAGTTGTTTTTCTTGTTCATTGGAGATTATTTTTGTAACTTGAATGCTATTTAATGGCTTTGAAACATCCAGCTAATATCATTCATGGTAAGAACTTTCACCCATAAAGTAGAGTAGTACAGTTCAGATACTTGAAGTTTTGATTTTCAGAGAAACGTGTTCTACAAATTCCTTTCCTACAGAAATCATCTATGTATTGTCATCCACTGTTTCGTGTGCTTTGGTGATTTCTTTAACTAAATTGTATAGACACAATTATCATGCCACATCCACATTGTGATGCGATTATAAATGAAAGACCTATAATGATATTTGTGTAAGTGGGTGCGGTATTTATTTTACTGGGAATTATCCTTCTTTTCATCTGATAAAGCTTGTAGGCTCGAAAATTAATGAATCATAAATGTTGTGCGTTTATATTTTTCATGTCTGCATACAGTGACAGATTTCATCGAATAACGCATGAATTGATTTCGACATTTCTACTCTTTGCATGCAATATGACGAAGACTTTTTCCAACTTTGATACGCAATTATATTGATGTAGATCCATCTAATTATAAGATTGCAGATGTCAAAACCACGCTTCAGGGAAGAAAAGCTATAAAGAACACTTTTTTAATATTATCTACGGAAAAGAAAAGACCATTCAGTACTACTTATCTACTTCATCGAACTTTAATTGAAAATAAATTAATGACAAATCTATTTTTATTTTCATATAAAAAATATGAATCATCAGGTTAAGTAATAACAAGACTAGAAGCCCAGTTTCTTTCACTTTTGTTTAATATATAAGTCACTTGACAATCTAAGTGTCTGCTATTTTTTTCTCATTATCAAACTCAAAACGACTTTTCAATGTGATATATTTTTTTCGAATTAAACATAATGTATCAATGCACCTCTACGTTACCTATATAACTCAATTAAAACATATGTGTGTAGGAAATTATTCGCTTTAAAAAATAGACGTTCCGAGTTTTTTTCTCTTTCTAATTAACAAAATTATCAAATGAATGCCTCTCTTTTTTTCTGTGACTATGACTCAGAGCAATCATCGCACATTTTTTTTTCTTTTATATTTACTTTAGAAGATGAAAAACACTAGAATTTTCATAGTCATCTTTAAACAGAAACCACTTTAATTTCATACTAATGAAAATCACGTATATTTTGATATGAAAAAGAAAACATGACGACATGAAACAAACATAATACAGTAGAGAGAGAGAGAGAGAGAGAACTGTCCAGGATTTTCCACGGTGTATACTCTTTGGACAAATATGTATACACGATAAATGAGATTGTGAACAGAAATGAATTTTACATAAGAGAGAAACATTTAACAGCAGAGGGAAAGCGAGCATCACCTTCTAAGTCATATTAATCGAAATCGTGAGGGCCAGTTAGAAAGAAGATTTTTTTCTTATATCGAAAATTGAGATACGAATAAAAAATATATCAAAAGTTATTGTATTGTTTTTTGTGTGAATTAAACGTAAACTTGTTTGTCTTTCGATAGATTTTTGTCATGTGTGTCAACGGCAACATATGTTGCGCCATCATCACCTTTTACAGCATGATAAAGTTCGTCTTCTGTTGGTGCTGGATGATAGCTTGAATCGTAAATAGGTGATTTTGACTGAAATAAAATCAATAGATTATTTTGTTTGTCTATCGTAAGAAGTTTTCACTTACATCCGAACGATTCGAGTTGTTGAAGTGTCGACGGCAAGCCTATACGGAATTAGTTTTTTATGAATCTAATAAGATGAAGAAAAAAACTTACATTGAGACGCATAATGAAAACGATAAATCCAGTAGCAATAAGTAGAAAAATGAGCATAATAATCAAAGATCTGATGCTCATACGTAGGAAATGTTTCAATTTTCCACAGAATACACCAAAAGTAGATTTATTCGGGTGTTTATGATCATTGTCGTCGATGACTTGTACGACGCCTGGTAAAACTGAACGGAAATCATGAGAATTCAACTAAAGAAAAATAAAAAAAATAAATTTTCAATTTTATTTTAAGAATTTTGTTCTTTACATCAGCATCAATTTGATCCATTTTGTTTTGAAAATCTTCGATATTTTCAGCATAAAATGGCATGATTTGAAATGATGTTAAACCGTGTTGTTCAACGGAAGAAACAGATATTTGTGCTGGTTCTAAACCATATCTCTTTGCAACATTACTAATGAAACCACTAAATCAAAAAATAAATAACTTTCAATATAAAAAATAAATAAGTTTATTACCTCTTAAATGTTTGAACAAACATGCGATCATTAAAGATATCACTTTGAATTTCAAAATCATACAGAAACCAATTAACATTGTCTGGATCGACTAAACAAACAAATTATTTATTAGAAAAAAAATAAAATTTTTTTTTGAACATTTACCCTTTTCACATAATCTCAATTGCATATTGCAAACACGTTGATCTGGACATGGAATTCTCTATTTCAGAAGAAAAAAAAATCATAATAATATTTCTAGTAAATATGTTAAGTTCAAGATGTCTGTGTATTCTGGCAGTTATCAGCTGGATGACTTTTGAATAATATACCAAAGGACGTTTTAGTCTCGGTACACGGGTATATGGCGCGTACACTCCGCTGCTACAATAGTCTATCAAAGATCTTCCGGCAAGTAAACAATGCTTAAAGCTTTCTGTGGCATAATTAGAGACCTACATTCTATCTACAGATATTTCTAATCTAGTCCCTGAAATTTGTTTTTTTTTCTTTTGAAAGCTCGATTGTAATCAGCCTATAAATTCGAAATGAAAATTCAGGGTCACACTCTTGTCTTTGGATAGAGCCATTAAAAACAAATCGATTTAACTAAAATTTAAGCCTCTATTCATACTATTTATTTAGTATCAAGATATTGCATAGGAGAAGATAAGTAATTACTAAAATCTTACTTCGCTACATTGAATTTTTTCTGAAACAGGCGTCCAATCACATTCGCAAACGTCGCATCCGTCTTCATTTCGTCGAAAACCATACATGCAGAACATGCGGCAGCTTCGCATTGGACAGCGATTACAAGCACATATCTTACATCCAGATTGATCACGTTGAAAGCCATATTTACATCGTAAATCACATTCTACTGGTGTACAGTTATCTTGAGGTTTTTCTTGTTCATAATTACAGTCGCAAGTTTGGCAACCTTTAATGCAGAGAAATGTTCATAGAATATTTAATTAAATAGATATGAATGCATCATACCACTATAATCTTTTCGAAAACCATTTTTACACACGCTGGAACATTTCATCAATGGACATGCTTCTGGTGATTCATTACATGCGCAATATTCGCATCCGTTTTCATCACGTTTAAATCCATTTTGACAAAACATACGGCACATAACTCTTGAACATTGTACACTTTCTTTCTTTGCACATTTACATGTCTGACAACCGTTTTCATCTAATTGATAACCAGAGTCACCACAATTTGCGCGGCATTTTATTTCTGGACACGATGTTAATTGTTTGCCTTCGTTGGATGCACATGCGCATGTAGGACATCCACTAGCATCAAGTAAATAATTTCCATTTGAACATTGTAGGTCGCAATTGGTTGCCAAATCACTTTGACAATCAGTATTATCTATTGGTACTAAAATAAATATTTGAAAACAAATCAATAGAATTAACGTTAAAAAATTGGGCTTCTTTTCTAACCATCGGCTACTGGTTCTGAGTCACTGTAAACCTGGCATATGATAAGGCAGAGCAGTAAGCTCGTCGAAATAAATTTCGTAAATTTATTCATTGAAAAGTTGCAAACAGCACGTATTATGCTTTTTACTGTATAAAAAACGAGAGAATGAGCGCAAAAAAAATATAATCGTTGTTGACGAGGAATGCGATGCGACGCTGCAATAAAATGGCCCAATGCGCACTCTGGCGGAGGATGCAGGGTAGAAAAAATTGCAAAAGGCTACTTGACGGTATTCTTTTTTCTCCGTTTTTTTTGCTCTCTCTTTCTTCCCCATTATGTTATTACATCAGCAGGCAATGCATAGTTCATTCTCTTTTTTTTTCTTCTTTTTTGTTCTCTACGGCTAAGTATCATAAAACAGAAAAGAAAAATGTCTGCCTTTTAAAGGTGTACCGTAAGTAAAAGGACAAAAAATAATAGAAAAAGGAAAGAACACAGTATACTTCGATCAAGATGTTTTTTATGAAAAATAAATCATTCAGAGACTCCAACTAATAATCAAAATGTTTTCAGCTAGTCAAATAATATCATAATATTTTTGTCGTCTTACGAATGTAAAAAAAAATCGATTATTTGCTTATGATTCAATAGCAATGTTCTTTCTTGTTTTTTTTATTAACGTTGCTTGAAGTTTTGTTGCATTGAACAATGATAACTTGAAGAGAGGAAGTAGAAAAAAATGGAACCGATGTCTTATATACTACTAGACTTAACAACTCTCTATATATTCGGTTAGCAAAATACTTGAGGCGGAAATACCTGCTTGGCACATTGGCACGCTGTGTGCGTCAGTTAGACACCGGAAGCCTGGTGGACAATGAACACCTTCCTAATTAACAAAATTAAATAGGACAAAGAAGAAAAAAAAACTTCTTTTTCTTATTTACTTGACATGAGGATGTGTGTTCAATTGGCTTAGACCTTGATATCGCACATTGACATAATGGACAACCATTTTCCGATTGTGCAAAACCAACACCAGACGGACAAAGAATTGTGCACAAGAATGGTGGACATCGATCATTACATTCGCATACGTCACAACCGAATAGATCTTTTAAATAGCCACTAGGACAATTTTTATTACATTGTTCCATTGATGGACACGATTGACATTCGCATTTAAGACAACCATTTGAATCAGTTCGATAGCCAAGAGGACAATTAAGAGTACATTGAAATGATGTTGGACATACTGATACTTTTGCTAAAAGAAAATAATGATTTTACATTGAGTTTCTCACTGTTACAGAAAACTAATCAAGATCTTTGATATAAATATTAGACTACCAATGACTATTTATAGGTAGCGTCATTTTTCAAAAACTAAGCAGCTTTCTTAGGCTTACTGTCTCTAAAATTTTGAACATTAAGTAAGCCTAGTTCAATGTTAACATACTAATTAAATTTTTTTTGTTAGCGAGAACTTATTCCATACGGTGATTAAACTAGCCTAATAAACACTTCTATTGAACCGTTCGCTATATAATGAACATCTTTCTTAGCAAAGAAAAAGAGGATTAAATGAGCATGAAAATAAGGAAAGTTTTTTTTCTTTCTCCATGAATTTCGAATTGATAATTTGATTCGATTTTATCAGCCACGAAAAAGCTTCTAACTTGCTCTTTTAATAAGATCTGTCTATTAGATTTCAATGCGTAAACTATCGAAATTACATTAAAAACTTTTTATAGTGATTTCATTTTGAAAAATAATTACATAGAAATAAATACTAGAATCTTATTTGTTCTTTTCACGTCGACTTGGATTTTTGTATCTCTACATTTATTAACGTAGTCCTTCGAACAAGTACGATGTCAATCGAATTAGATAATTTAATTCAAACGTGCGTAACAAGACTACACGACGTTCTAAGTAGCCATTTATGTCAAGTATAATCAAATAATCTTGCTAAATAAACTTTCTCTCATCATCTCATCATAGACGAGCTTGTATACGAAACAAGACGTTGAACTTTTTCCATGTCTACTTACTTTTAATGGATGTTTTGCAAACGCGTTTTCCACATGGAGCTTCACAACACTTCAGTTCGCCCGGACAATCAGTATCGAATCGACAATCAGGTTGAATAATTTTTTCTGTGTCACATTTAACATCGGTTAGTACTAGTTTCGGACAAATGCCTGATTTACGTATGGTTTGTGATCGATTCATGATTGGATCGTATGGTTCAGCATATTCATTCGTATAATCATCTGCATCAACAAATTCATTTTTATCTAATGGGTCATCTTCGTCATATTCGTAATATTCATCGTAAGGCGAACCTTTCGATGTTGAATTCGATTTTAAATTGCCATTTTGAGTATTCAGCTTTGACTCACCTGACTTAGCCAATAGACGCGGAGCTAACGGTAATTGTTGAGAAAAGAATGTCGACTGATTTTTTAAAGCACAATAAACACATTTTAGTAATAGATCATTTTGACTTCCATCACATTTTGGATTCAAACGACAGATCTCAGTCGATGTATTACAATGAAGAGACTATTCAAAGAAATTATGTAATTTTTGAAGAAGAAAAATTCAATCGCCCTTCTTTACCTGACACTGCTCATCGTATTTCGTATCCAATGGCGCAATATCAGCATTGATTAAAACAATAAGCAGCAAAAATAATACAAGTGAACTTCGAGTAGCCGAATTCATCTTAGAGAATTTCTTTCGAACTAAAACTAAAATAATTAAATCGAATTGCATACACATTTATAACTCTTATTTCTACATCAATGTTCACTTTAAATATTCAATCACGGAAAGTTTTTTTTTTCGCACGTCCTTCTCTTTTTCTCCTACAATTTCCAGTGACCTGTCAATATGATATATCCGATCGCTGCATTTCTACACCTATGATCATATCGAAAAACTGATAAAGATACGTATTAAACACCACTAAGCCCTAGCCTTCCTCCGCATCGAAATAAAACGAAACCGTACTATTTTGCACGGCCACTCTAATAGCTTTTTCATGGTTAATCATGATGCGAAATGTTGGAGTTACGAAAGAAAAGAATACAGATCACATTATAATAATTACAAGACATATATATATATATATCAGAAAAAGAAGTTCTAATAGATCCATATGATATGTAATTAATTCATAAAAAAAGAGAACTATTGATACTACAATTTCCTATTGCATAAGAAAGAACAACACACATATACGACAAGTAGCACTTCACTCTTTTAGATATATGACCATAGGCTTATAAATCTATCTGCGATGAAAAATATTATGTTTGTTATCAAAACAAAGAAGAATAAATAAATAAATTCTAACAAATGCAAATGATTTCCTATTGTCTTCCGACAAACAGAACAAACACAGAGAATGAAGTTTATCTTACGATTAAAATAGGAGAATGTTGTGATATTTTTTCTTCATCTGGAACATTGCTATTCGTATCTTAACACTATAAGACTAAGGATGTGCATCAATATCATAAACTACTCTACAGCATAACAAGGTCATCATTATGTATAAGATGTTCGGCATCAATAGATGTAACTTTTCTAGCCTTTGTTATGCAAAAAGGAGAAAAGACGACAAACACTCGTAGACGAACTTCGACATTTCATCTTAATCTTTTGCTTATCAATTTGACTGTAGAAGTTCGATTGAACTCAATTGGTTGTTAGTTAATAGAATTACATCATTGTGTCAGCTGTAGATTAAGTGCTTTTCTCTCAATCTCAAACTATACTTGAATGAAATTGACCCCTTGAGGATATCGGGCAGTAATTTTTCTTGTCCTATGGTGCTGTATTAAACGATGTATCCCCTCTGTGACTAATCAACATGAGATGCCAACCAAATTGTAATACGCTATTTATATATATATATAAAGTTAACTTAAAAACTTGTCGCTATATCTTACATCACGCCTACATACTTTTACTTAATTTCAATCAATTCAGAAGCGTGTATTTTTGAGAGCATATGATTGTATGTATGCAATATAAATATATTTATATCCATTCAAAAAGAGACAAAACCTACCTTTCGCTCTCTTCTTCGTTTTTTTATATTGTGTATCGAAAGAAAAAAAAGGTACATATGCAGAGTGTCAATCACATAGAAATTGAATCAATTTTGAGGACGATATATCGTTGTGCTGACAGATTCATGTAGTATGTACGTGCATCGCGTGAAAGAATAGTAGTAAAATATGCGACTGATTCTCTCTCTCTCTCTCTCTTTCTCTCTCTTGCTTACCATCAAGAAGAGCAGATATGTAATAAGGGAAGAGAACAGCATAGAAGAGAATGTTAGAACGATAGAAGGCAAAAAATGTGTATAACAAAGCAGATAAACCACCCCTGAGTATATTACGATCAATTATCAGCTGTATTCCCGGAATATTTTGACATCCTTAACATAACTATTCCAGAAGATAAATATGTGTACAAGAATCGAATATATATATCAACATTTACAAAAACATAATTCCGATTGAAACAAACAAGATTAATGAGAATTAATTATGCTTGATTGTTGAAAACCATATACAACCAAGAGAAGAACGATTGCTCTTATGCGATATTCTCATTATCTGTCTGATATGGTTCAATCACTCCGTGATGTAAAACATACAACCACAAGCGTAAACACTTTCTATAGACAAAGCAGGTGTCGTAACTTGCAGCCTTGCGTAAAATAAGGGCATCACTAATATAATCTCGTTGTTTATTGATCTGTCTGATAATTTGAAAAAATGCCATCGATGAATGGAATAGATTGAGGAAAGTATCTGCTTTTCTCGTAGACTTATATTGGACAAGGGCATCTCTCCGACTATTGAAATAATAATATTCTTTTTACATAAACTATTTTCTAAAACTATACCTGAAGAATGGCGAACAATAATCATGTTAAGTATGAAACCCAAAAACAAAGAGGAGACCTTATACGTTCATTTTAATGAATATATGTTTCGCCTCTCGTACAGTATGCGTCATTCGAATGTTCGATTCGAATAATTCTGCTCTACTACTTCATTTACATGAACATAAGAAAGTTTTCTTCAAGAAACAGATTATTAATTGGACATCGTTGAACAAAAATCCATCGCTAAAAAACTTCTATGATGAATATACATCGCTGAGAATTTCAGTAAACTACGCAAGTTCTGATTTCTTCATTGGGAGGGAGAAAAAAAAGAGGAAAAAATGAATGATTGAATCAACGAACTATTAAATTAGAATGCTTGAACGAGCAATACATATGAGTAAAAGTGTGCATTTATGTCAAATGTGTCATGAACATGAGAAATAAATTGACGTTAAAAAGTTATACTTGACTCTCTTTCTATTTTTTTCGTCATTTAGATTTTATTGTCATCAATTCCGTTAAATAATTATTGGTTTGATTGACCTCCATTTGACATGGTTCTTTTTCTCATGGAAATTCATACATCTTTCTGTCAAATGAAACAAAACAAAAAAAGGGCGTTTATGTCAAATCGATACAAAAATAAAGTCTGACTGACTAGAGTGAGAGGATCTATCATAGATCTCTGCATTTTCAAGTCTCCAGGTTTTATTGTATTTTATTTTTGGTACGAAGTATAGCCGCGATATATCTGGCAATGATTATTATCCTCGATAATGTTCCTTATGATAGTAGAATGCCCTCATGATGGATCTATAAATATCTTCCTTTCTCTTACTTCCTATCAACACTACATACGCATAAACTCATCATTTGTCGGCTATGATTTTGTAAATATTTAGACAAGCAGATTTCGATCTGAGTTCCAATGATTTTCTATCAATGAAGCGTAGTAAATAAAATTCTAACGTTACCGAAAAAGGTTTGTTCTGATATGGATTTATTTTCGACTATTTACGAAGCAAAAACAGAGATAGCGCTTGACTAGAAGTGATTTTTGATATATGGGCTCATCAATTTTACGTTGTTTTCTTTCGCATTCTCATGTGACTTAGTTCTATCTCTACGATGTTATTGACAGAGTTACAATGAAAAATAATAATACCTAATGTCGATAGTTAAATTTTCCCCGCAGAATTTTGAATAGAATATAATAATAAACAAACTTTTCGCTACAACACCTTATTCTTTCTTTAACTTCATGAGTCAATATGTACCTGATGACTAAACATCAGGTAAATGGAATGAATCATTTGACTTATGCTTTTCAATGATTGGCTAAGGAAAGTATTTCTTTTTATAATTGGCAGGATTAATTCCTCATATATCCATTTACGAGATAACCGAATTCGAGCGGTCTGCTCTTGATTCATATCTCTCAAATGATCGATCTTATTAGCGGTATCCATCTATCTTGATTCTATCGATAAAATGCATCACATGCGGTTGCTAATAAATTTTTAGTAAATATCGTGCTTTTATGATTCATCATAAATTCCTCCTAATAAAATATTCCGCGCGAGTATTTCATTGAAATGTTTTTTTGTGTCTCAACGAGCTATTTTTAAATCGGTTAATAGGTAATTGATTTGCAAGACTATAAAGATCTATTTGCAAATAATCAACATATTTTATAGGTTGACATACCTGATAACAAATGTAAGTCTGACTCGAGAAAAGATAAAATAATTCTTGTGAATACAAAAGATTTCTCAATCTTCTCTTATTCATAGCCGAGTCTTGCTTATTCTTCGCAGAAATCTGCATTTTTTTTCTTATGCTACCGATCAAGAAAGATCGTTGATAATATTAGTTTATTTGATTTTAATCGATGTTCTATTTTTTCTCCTCTCACGCTCAGGTCATAAATGGCTCGGATAGATCAACTAAAACGCAATTACAATCAATACTATAGATCCGATAAAAAAGAGGAAAATGCAGATTTATTCCTTATTTTTTTATCTAAAAGGAAAAGTCCGTCAATCAAATTTAAGATTCCAATGGAGTATTTGACAGATCCGATCAAATAAAATAAAAATATTTATCTGCTAAGGAAATATATGATTTAGTTTGAACTAACCGGAACATTGCATACGACGAAAAACTATTGCCTCATAATCAACACGTAGCTTTTAAATATGAAATTACTCTTGTGATGAAGCAAAAACAAAGTCTCATGGGAAAATAATATGTTTCAATTGAATTTCTTATTCATAAAAATGACTAATGTAATATATTGTATATACACACACGTCGGTGGAATAATAGATCAAAGGAAAACTTTCTACTGGTTTCAATCGAATCAACTTTTTCTATCTGACACAATATATATATAAGAATTTAGTTTTCATCGCCTACTTCTTCTCTTAGTAAATTTGACTATTAAAATAGAAAACTTAAAAATATCCGTAATGATCAAGACTTAATGTAAACAGTAACGGACTTACCAACATTATGTGTACTTTTCTTTTTCTTTCGTGAATGCAAATGAGAATAATATAATGCAAAAGTAATAAAGAAAAAGACGAATCAATCCGATAGATTTTAATAGGGATCTATTCTCTCGTTTCTTTTTCTTTTTTTCTTTGATTTATTGCATCCTTCAAATTGTCGTTCATGCGAAGTATATATTGTATCATTTTAACAATTTCATCGTGCTATTTTTACAGAAAAAACAAGAATTTCAATTTACGTTCAATTTTTCGAATTCATGCGACACAATAAAAGATGTTTAAACTACAATTTCAAAAATCATAAAATTATTGAGACTTTTTAATAGAAGACAAATATTGTTTCAAACTAATCTGTCCAGACATTTTGAAATACTAAAAGTGAACAACTACCAGCGACCTCTTCTCACTTTCAAAGTATATGCAAATTAGTTTTGAAAGCCACATTAAACCAATAAGCAGACGAATTTCAATTGTTTACTTTTTTCCCAATAAATCAATAGAATACTTGTGCATTTGTCAGTGTATTGCTATTCGATATCGTTAGTTTAAATTTTGACAAATAAACTCATCTTTCTACTTTAGATCTTTAATTTAAGCAGTTCTTCAAATTGAACAATGACAGATTCAAAATATTTTTCAACTCAACGAAAAGGTAAATTTTTATCATTTGATTACTACGCAAATGAAACCATTATCTATGACGATGAAAGAGAACACATATTTGTCTGTCTTACCTATACCTGAATACTGAAGAATAAAGAACGAGCGAGTGAGCGCGCTGCAAGAAAAAAAGATATTCAAAAAAAAAAGGGTATATATATATGCAAATATCAACGGTTACTCTCCTTTTTCGTTCGCTTCATAAAATCGAAAAAAAAGTAGCAAGTCAAGTATCACATTTTTGTTGCTTTTTTAAAAATAGAATCGAATACAAAAATAAAGTAAAATGAAGACTAACTTTTTTCTATTCGTTGTCAGATAAAAAGGTGACAACAATATCGCAGAGTCGTTTTTCACGATCTTCTAGAGAAAAGTATCATTCTTTCTGCTTTCATTATTGCCCTTCTACTATAATAACGTCTCGATCAGCCTCGCTTGATTCATTTTTTTGATTAACCTATATTCGTATACTATAACATGAGTGAATTCGAAGGCAAAAAAGGTATTCTAAACCATTCATTAATAACCTCCAATAAATTAAAATATTTTTAGGCGAAATCTATGAACTGAAAGCTGAATTGAATAGCGACAAACGTGAACGTAAAAAGGAAGCGCTGAAAAAGGTGATAACTAATTTTTTTTAATCCTATTCGAATTTATTATTGTTTTTCTTAAGGTCATTGCGAGTATGACAGTTGGTAAAGATGTTAGTCAATTATTTCCTGATGTTATTAATTGTATGCAGATTGATAATCTTGAATTAAAGAAACTTGTTTATCTTTATCTAATGAATTATGCTAAAACACAACCAGAAATGGCTATTCTTGCTGTAAATACATTTGCAAAAGTAAACGAACAAAACAAAATAATTCCATGCTTATTATAAAAAAAACGACTTTGATCTTTCATAGGATTGTAATGATCCAAATCCGTTAATTCGAGCCTTAGCAGTACGTACAATGGGTTGCATACGTGTCGATAAGATAACCGAACATTTATGTGAACCATTGCGAAAATGTTTAAAAGACGAAGATCCGTATGTACGAAAAACAGCTGCTGTTTGCGTTGCGAAATTATTTGATATTAATCAACAGCTTGTATTCGATCAAGGTTTTCTTGATATGTTAAAAGATTTATTATCGGATTCAAATCCAATGGTATCTTTTCTTGTTTTTGGAACAAAATAGAAATGAGAAAGTTAATATTGTGTGTGCTTTTAGGTTGTAGCAAATGCAGTTGCTGCATTAAGTGAAATATCTGAACAATCACCACAGACAAAAATATTTGATTTAAATGGGCCAACAATTAACAAACTATTAACAGCACTTAATGAATGTTCGGAATGGGGACAAGTATTCATACTTGATGCGATTTCAAATTATTCGCCAAAGGTTTTTCAGATTTTGAAAAGAAAAATATTCTTGAATGTATTTTATATTAGGATGATAAAGATGCACAAAGTATTTGCGAACGTATAACACCACGTCTTGCTCATGCGAATTCCGCTGTTGTTCTTTCGTCGGTTAAAGTAATGATTTAACATTTTTGATTTTATTATGAATGCTTATTTGTTGTCTTATAGGTTTTAATGAAATTTCTTGAATTACTTGATCAACAGAGTGAATTCGTTCAAAATTTATACCGTAAATTATCACCACCTCTAGTGACACTTCTATCGGCTGAACCGGAAATTCAATATGTTGCTTTGAGAAATATTAATTTAATTGTTCAAAAAAGGTAAATAGAATAGTTCAATTACAAACGAACAACTAAACTATTAAAGAAGTCTCCACCAGAATTACTCGGCAGCGAAGTATAAATTAGGAAGTTCTATGGTTGTTTATCTGTAATTCTAAGTTCGAGTGCTCTATTCAATTGTAATTGCATAATATATCCTAAGATTAATATGGAGCATAGCTTGAGAAGAATGACTGTAGAGTGTTCAGCTGAACTACGAGATCAAGTTCAGATTTATTTCAGTTTCATGTTTTATCATTTAGATCGGATATACTCAAAAATGAAATGAAAGTATTCTTTGTTAAATATAACGATCCCATCTATGTTAAACTTGAAAAACTTGATATCATGATACGCTTAACAAATGCGACGAACATAGCTCAAGTATTAGCTGAATTAAAAGAGTAAGATTTAATGGAAGACATTTTTCTCGAATAACTATTTGCTGATTCGTTAAGATATGCTACGGAAGTTGATGTAGATTTTGTTCGTAAATCTGTTCGCGCTATCGGCCGTTGCGCTATCAAAGTTGAACAAGCTGCCGAACGATGTGTTAGTACATTGATTGATCTTATTCAAACTAAAGTTAATTATGTTGTACAAGAAGCTATTGTTGTTATTAAAGTAAAAACAAAAACAAAAATGAAGATTTTTCTTTTAATTCATTGAATTATTTTAGGATATTTTTCGAAAATACCCAAATAAATATGAAAGTATAATTGCAACATTGTGCGAAAATCTTGATTCACTGGATGAGCCTGAAGCACGGTAAGAGACACAAAAAACGGAGGAAAAGAAATAAAGAAAATATTTCTATATTTAAAGTGCTTCAATGATTTGGATTGTTGGCGAATATGCAGAACGTATCGATAATGCTGATGAATTACTTGAAGGTTTTCTTGATGGTTTTAAAGATGAAAATACTCAAGTACAATTACAACTGTTAACTGGTATTGTGAAACTTTTTCTTAAGAAACCAACCGAAACACAAGAATTAGTTACAAGAGTTTTAACACTTGTTACACAAGTATTTTTGTTCTTTGAAAATGTTTTTCAGCAATTTTAATTTTAAATTTTTCTTCCCTCTAGGAAACAGACAATCCTGATTTACGTGATCGTGGCTATATCTATTGGCGTTTATTGTCAACGGATCCTAAAGCAGCCAAAGAAGTTGTTCTAGCTGAAAAACCACTTATTTCAGAAGAAACTGATTTATTAGAACCAACACTTCTCGATGAACTTATTTGTCACATCGGTTCATTAGCATCAGTTTATCATAAACCGCCCAATACATTTGTCGAAGGACGATTTATAATGAAAAAAAATTTACCACTTCGTTCGAGAAGTTACGGTGAACAAGAAAACAATACTGGACATACTACCACCATGCAAACTAATCAACAGCCACAACAAGTTGTTATCAGTGGTAATGTTGGCTCATTAATTGATGATTTTGATATATTGAGTTCGATGCCAATGCCATCATCGAACCCAATGGATACATATGAGCAAAGTCAAAATCGAACTGCGTCAGCTGTACCAAATTTACTTGATGATGAACTTTCATCAATTCTTGGATTAGATTCAAATTTAGGTGGTAATCAAACGCCAATGATGAATACAAATACATCATTGCCAAACAATAATCGCCAAACGACTAGTATTGGAAATGAACTTGAGGATTTATTTGGTGATTTCAATTTACAAACGGGTGGCGCTGGTATTTCATTTTCGGGCAACAATGTTTTTGTTCCACCGAAAGAAGTAAGCTAAAATTTCTTTTGATGCATTTCCAAATTTTCAGCAATAGAAATGTCGGAAAGTTTTAGATCTTATATATTCCTTAATTGAAATTAGCCAAAAAAAATATAAAATACTTGTTTTATGGATGACTTACAGTTGGGCTCATTTTCTTTGCGCTGCATTCGCCATATGGTTAAGGACATGTTTGATTTTCTACTCTGCTACAAGTTGCACAGAATCGATAAACAAATGCATTGATTACATAAATATATACTTTATAAGTAATGGGTTTCGATGAATAAAATGATTAATGAGCTTACGAGTCAATAGAGCTATCATTTTATTAAATGTCAAGTACTACTCGAAATGCTAAATACTAATAACTAACGCATTAATTCCACTTTACTCTTAGTAAACGATTAGTATCACAGGGTCGATAATAAGTACTTTGATTTATAGTTAATTTCGCGTAAAATATCAGCGAACAGTAATATAGAACCAGTGTAAGATTGCGCGGTCTTTCGTAACTAATTTTTTTGCAGGCGAAGACAAATAATAATTTAAAACCTAAGATTCGAGACTCTGCTGAATTAATTTGTCCTGAAAATATTCGTAAGCGAATGACTTCGTCTTTTGTTTCAGGTTTGGTTAAGCGCTGCTAAAGGCAAAGGTCTCGAAGTATCCGGTACGTTTGTCCGTCGTAGCAATCAAATAGTCATGGAAATGGATTTCACAAACAAAGCCTTACAACCCATGAATGATTTAGCGTTACAAATAAATCGTAATAGTTTTGGGTTAACACCCGCACAACCATTACAAGTAACAAGTCCATTATTTCCAAATCAAACTGTACCAACACAATTAATTTTAAATACAACTGGACCCATTATGCGCATGGATCCATTAACAAATCTTCAAGTTGCAATTAAGAATAATATTGATATATTTTATTTTAACTGTATTGTGCCTATTCATGTGTATTTTGCTCAAGATGGTGAAATGGATAAAATGACATTTGTACAAACATGGCAAGAAATACCCGAAGGTAATGAAGTAAAACATCAATTACAAAATGTAAACAATTTATCGATTGATGATTTACAAAATAAATTGCGTTTAAATAATATACATACAATAACACGCACAGCAATTGAACAAAAAGAAATGCTCTATCAAACAATTAAATTAACAAATGGAATTTTTATATTAGTCGAATTAAGAATTACGCCAGGAAATCGAACAATATCAGTAAATTTTGTTTTTCTGTTTCTGAAAATGAATTATTTTCTTTTGTTTTTATTTTAGTTTTCACTCAAGACAAAAGTAAGCGATGTTGCAAATTTAATCGTTCATGCCTATGAACTTATACTTAGTAGTAACTAAAAACAAAATGTTCATTTTTGTCTTTTTTATGTGATCAATAAATATTACACTTCAAAAATAAATTCATTTCGAGAAAAAAAGAACTTTTTTTTTAATATATTTATTTTTTTGTAGATTTCAGGTTTTTTCCATTATTAGTGTTGCTCTCATATAAATGCAGGTGTGTGCGTTTGAATGCGTTGTTTTGTTTAATATTCATCTGTTTGAAGTAGCTTGAACGAAAATTTCCAGCTGCACAAGGAGCTATTCGTTGTGTGCGATATAATATCGATGGAAATTATTGTTTAACATCGGGTAGTGATCGAACCATTAAATTGTGGAAACCTGATGGCAGTTTAGCTATTAAAACATATACAGGGCATAGTCAAGAAGTACTTGATGTGCATAGTTCATTTGACAATAGTCGATTATGTTCGGGTATTAAGTTAATAATCGATGAAGATTGATTCATTTTTTGTTTTTATTTCGATTTTGTTTAGGTGGTGTTGATAAACGAGTTTTGTATATTGATGTTATGACTGGAAAAATTATGAAAAAATATCAAGCGCATGCTGGTATAAAAGATTTTAATATTTTTAAATAAAGTATTTTGCGTAGAAAATAATTCGTAGATGACAGGATCGTTTTTAGTCAAAAAAATCACAGGAGTGAATAATCTAACATCATTGCTTTTTTTAAATTTTAATTTAGGAGTTTTGTTGAAAATAAAAATAACTATTTTAGTGAGTGAAAAGTTTAAATTCAATAATATCATCTTATGAATTTTAGAAAATAAATTATGTAGTTACTGAATAACGTTCGAACGTTCTATTTAACAAATTTAGATACGAGGATTGAAATTCTCAGCTACGTAAATCAAAAGGCGCACTTATTTTTACAGATAAGTATAGAATTTCGATGTTAATTAAACTTACGTAATGCTTTTAAAGTACCCTAGATAATTATATTTCAGGTACCTATTGATCAAGAGAGAGCACATCACGGAATCTCATTAGATAGTTAAGAAAAAGAATTATCAGTACCGTCCTTTCTGGGCTAAAGTGTAGAGCTCACATATATGCTTTTGATTCACTAAGCTAATGTGAAAATCTCTTACAAAATCAGCCGCATTTCTAACGTATGTAATTAGAGGGCGGTACCTATTTGATTATGTTTGCAATGCGAAGGAGTAGATGGGAAGCTACAAAAACCTCTCCTTACAATTTACATTCACTATTTTCTTCGAAAATATCTATGAGTTTCACAAAAAAGTTGCCGGAATTACTTGTAAACTGAGTTCTCACTAGATTTCGTCTACTTACAATTGATTAAATATCGTCGATAGGGTACTCAGTTTTTTGCTAACTTAGTAAGATCTTATACCGAAATCAGAGTAAAAAAAGCATCCGTACCCTCACAGTTCCAATAATCTTTGATTAAAGAATTATATGTGATAGGAGGAAAAACTCATATTAATTAACATTATTTTAAGGTCGTGTACAAGCCGTGCGCTTCAATGAAGAAGCAACGATAATATTTTCTGCATCCATTGATGGTACTGTGAAAATTTGGGATGTTAAATCTCGTGAATACGATCCAATTCAAGTATTAGACGATGCAAAAGATAGTGTAACAAGTTTATCATTAGGAAATCATGAATTGTTAACAACTTCACTTGACCAACGTGTTCGTATATATGATATACGTTATGGTAAATTGTTTGAAGATTATATTGGACATAATTTAACGTATATAAATCTTTCACATGATCAACAATGTTTTCTTGTTGGAACATTATCAAGTCAAATAATGTTATTTGATAAAGTGAATGGAAAATTATTACAAACATTTGTTGATTATACAAATAATACGTATATGATTGAAAATGCTTTTTCGAATGATGATCAATTTGTATATAGTGGCTCGGAAAATGGTCGTTTAATATGTTGGAATTTGTTAACCGCAAAGCAAATAAGTGCCATTGAACATGAACCAGATAATAAAAAAGCAGTTAGCACATTAACGCATCATCCAAAAGAAGATAAACTACTTACGGCACAAGAAGGAACTATTTATATATGGAAGAAAAAAGATGAGACAGAAGAAAAAGAAGAAGAAATAAAAGAAAGTTTTATAAATAAAAAACCAATAAATGTTCCTCAGTTTGTTAGTGGAGGATTCGAATAATTCATAAAACGTTTTTTTTCGCCTCTCTGTTTCAGATCTTAGTTGAATTATATCCTTTTTAATGTCTGTTGTTCCGTTTTTGATTGGTGTTGCCGGTGGTCCGTGTTCTGGTAAATATTTCATTGATATAACGAAAATGTGAAAAATATTCATTTGGTTTTAGGCAAATCAACTGTATGTCAAAAAATAGTTGAAGACCTTCAATCGACTGCTGGCTTTGATCAAGCAAGTCCTGTTAGTGTGATACCAATGGAAAATTTTTATAAACCTAAAACAGTCGAACAACGTGATATGGCTTTGAAAGGAAATTACAATCTTGACCATCCGGATGCTTTCGATGAAAAACTTCTATATCAAACATTGTTAGATCTGCTTGCCGGTAAAACTGTGAAAGTAAGAAACAAAATAAAAAATTGGTGAATTTTGTTTCATTCTTACTTTTCGAATTTAGATTGCTCAGTATAATACAGGAAAATATGAACATGTAGAAGGAGTTATGGATACAATTGAACCGGTACCAGTTATTATAGTTGAAGGAATTTTAATTTTTTATTTTCCAGAAATTCGAGTAAGAAAAATATTTGAACAATGCGCTGTAGCTGTAGACTGGTGACTATATTCCTATGAAGACTACGAGCTTTTGTGAATGATTAAATTGTTAATGGAGTGAATAGGATGAGATTTGACCACTAACTATTTTCAATAAGACGTCAGTATTATTGTGTTACTAGCGTGTAAAATGAAATCTTTCCCATAAAATAATTGTTAATATAATTAGATCCTGTTTGTATAAATAATGTTTGTTTTCTGTGTCTATGTGATTTTAAGAATATTTACAGTGTACTATGAGCCACCAGAAAACATCTTGCTTTTGAACAGAGTTAACTTTATTCCATTTAATTTACTCAGGTTTTCAGTTACGTTACTAGCAGACTAGACATACCCGCTTTAACGCCATTTTTCAAGCGATTCTTTGATAATTGTTTGATTTTTTTCTTAGAACCTATTTCAAATGAAACTATTCGTTGATACCGATGCTGATACTCGTTTAGCACGTCGTGTATTACGTGACATGAAGCAGCATGGCAGAAATTTGGAACATGTTTTAACTGGCTATACCAATTATGTTAAACCATCATTTGAAGATTTTTGTTTACCAACAAAAAAATATGCCGATGTTATTATTCCACGTGGAGCTGATAATCATGTTGCTGTTGATTTGATTGTTCAACATATAAAAGATTTTCTTAAATCTAAACCAAAAAAGAGTGGTAGTCAACCGACAGCTGACCACAATGCAAGAGCAAGACCACATTAGAAAATCCTCAAAACATGTCAGATTGAGAATGTCCTATTTCTTTGTTAATATATATCGTGAACAATCAAGGAAAACGTTTTTTTTGTTTGCTAGCAATACGTACTGTTTGTTGTGTAGCTTAAATAATTTCCAGATGCAGAAATATGGTTTTTCCTTTTGAAATACGAAATTGTGTTTTAGAAAACATGTCGTTGATACCTGCGATTCATTCGTGGAATTTAACAAACTATGCTCGACGACTCAATTCGAATTCAACAACAAAAACTGAATATTCTTGGTCATGTCTAAATATAAACCAAACACCAATAAAAATGACCATAACACCAGCATTGCAATTGCTGATCATATCATCAGATCAATGTATTGAAGAATTAATTGGTAATAATAACAAATACGAGGAGATCAATCGTAAAATAAATTGAATTGATTGATTAGTTTGAATATGATCTTAGTTGGTGGTCTAATCCTGAACAAAATAGTCTTTTTGCATGGTTGATATTTCACTATGTATACATTAACAATTGCTAAGGAAATCATGCTTGATAATTGATTGAGATTGTTGAAGAAGTTTCTCAATTTCAAGATTAACAATTAACGATCGAATTATCAATGAGAAAGTCAAAATATTTCTTGAATAGATATTTGTCACTAATTGATATGCGCATGAGATCATTAAAAGATGCTAAATTTTTTCAGCTCAATGTGGGACATTTTATTAAAAGACTATAACAAAGATTTACAGTTCAATTGAAACCGATTACTATGTTATTCTATAGTAAACGTCTGACATTGTTTGAACATAGAATATCTAAAATTAGATATAATAGTATTAAACTTGCCTACAAAAGAAGATTTCATTTAGAAATATTTTATGCTCGAAAAGAATTTCATAAATCCTTCTAACAGTTTTTTAGTTTCACGAAGACTAAACCACAGCTGGAAGACGTGTGTAGATGAAACGCGTTCAACAGTTAGAAATATTTTGTCTTCTAAATTGAATTTGACTTATACTGAAGTTATAAAGCATCGATATTTTGTAGAAATATAAAAATCCTGATCACGTGATTATCTAAATATAATATTTACTAACATAGATACAGCATCGAGAATGTAGAATCAGTATATGTATTTTGTTTTTTTTTGTAGACATTTGGTTGATGTTTAACTATACACATGTTCATGTTCATCGTAAAAGTATTCTTTTTAATTATACATGGCCACCAACATCTTCATCAACAAATTTAACACGTTCATTTCGCGTTAAATTCAGCGATGGTAAAGATCTAAATCAGTGCTTGCAATTATTACGTGATTACTTTCCAGTCAATATATATTCACCAAATGACTTTAGTATTTGCATTGAATCAATGCAGCCAACCATGTTTCATTCATTATTGTTTAATGAAATAAAAGATACATTAGCAGTGGAACAATCAACAACAATGAATATCCGAACAGATTTTGTTCGTCAATATCTCTCGACTTGTATCATGGATCCAACATTTTTTATGTTTGTTAATGAAAATGAAAAATATTTGAAAAATATTTTAAAGGGAAAATAAATTTGTACAAATCGTTTGTGTTTTAGGAAATAAATAAAATGAAAGGTCGCATCTTTAACATTTTCGCTATTGATGTTGGTACGTGAGTCAGATTATTCTGAAACACGTATAGAAGTCGAAGCTTGCATAGCTGTGTGTGTTAATTCGATTGGCCATTAGAAGGTGGCTTTGTTCGAGATTGATTTGTTGGAATTTCTTCATTGAAACTCGTGAATCTACAAACGTAAAAGTAAATTAAACAGGATCGCGACATTGATATTTCGGAATTAAATAAAGATGTTGTTCCATAGAATTTCGACTGTCACTTATCGGTTTTGAAGTCATGTGACAGCGAAGCTTTTCTTGGTGTATTGTATGGGTACGATATAATAGCTAGAGCACAGCTGAAGTCGATAAAAATAATATGATTATGATCGATTTTTAAATCTTTGCCAATAGGTTTGCTTGGGTTTTTACTGCAGATTATTCCACGAGAAGTTCCTCGCAAACATCCACAAACTAGCAATTACTACAAGCAATTTTTCAAATTCGAATGGAGCGTCTTATTTATTTTCATTATTTCTATGTGTGGAGAAGCCAAGAAATTAAAACAAACCGCTATGAAAAGGATGAAAAGAACAATGTTTTTTTTAATTTATTTCATTTTCATGTATAGAATTGCAACACATCAAAAATAACGTCCGTCTTCTCTTCTAGAATTTCAGTGGCTAACTGTGTTGTATTCTTTCATACATTGTACTCTTTTTCTTGTCTGGTTCATTTTTCTAAGTCTATTGCATGAATGCAGAGGTCTCACATGTTTTGTTCTGTTTACTGAGAAAAAGATTTCGTCTGATTTTATGGTCTCTACGCCAGTGTCCACGCGAACACATTACACTTGTGTTTTAACTTATATCGCTTGAGATAGTAAAACAGAATAAAATCAATAGCTCATATGTATGTCTATATAATCGCAGTGAAGAGCAGATTAAAATATATTGGCATCGTTTCTCAGTGCCAACACCCTTTAATCCTCTGCTGAAGCGAGTGATGTTTCAATCGATCTGCATTTCAGCGGCCGACTGTGTTTTATTCTTTTGATGTTTTACAATTTATTTTTCTTTCTTATTTGTTTAAGACTGTTGTATGGGTTCAGAGATTTCTTACATTTCATATTGCTTAATCAGAAACAAAATTTCATTTGATTCTACCGATCATACGCAAGTAGCCAATAATGAGTAAAAGAAAAGACTATCGTACTGCGAAGCACAGTAGGAATATATTGTTGCGGAGTCTCACTTTCTAGTTTCATTCTTCAAATCATTCACATGCTGTAGGACGTTTTTTTTCGATGAGGTAAATGTGAAAGCACTGGCGAAATCAAATTTGAATCAACTTTTTAGAGACAAATTTATACTGATTTTTGAACCTGACAATTATTAGTGGCGTGTTTCTTGAATTTATAGCTTACAATCAGTAGACTACTGTATTTTCAAGAATTCGAAAGCTTGACAGGTCACTTTTTTTTATATGAGTAATTGGCAATATGAATTATTGTTACGCTGATCAACAGTATCACTGAACTACATTGACACTCTTTTCGTCTGTCGCCAATTGTTTGCATTTCAGTAATCATTGTAACACTGCGCATTCATACTCTTGAGTTTCATTACTTTGCCACTTCTATTGATTCTTGTACATAATCGATTTGTTGAGGATTTTCCATTAGATATGCTCTATCGATCCTCCATCTATGTGTGCACTTTTAATGCTTTTATTGAAACAAATTTATGAGATAGTTATACCACTTTGTTCATTTTTCGAAACTATTACAGGTTAACATAGGCGATAATTTTTTCGTCTTACAATAAAAAGCAGGAAATGAGTAGACCTTCACTGTTGCCGTGCCTAAAATCAGATGACTATGTGAAATATGAACACCAGTATTAGCACGGTGATAAACAAACACAGACTTGGATCAGTGATCGCTTCCTCAGCTAGAATTTTTTTGTTATTTACTTAAGGAATAAAGTAGTACAATAACTGAGCTCGCTGTACTCTCAGGTGTAAGTCTTTTTGAATAATAATTGAAAAGTATGAGTTTCAGTACTTTCAAAAAAGTAAATTAATGTATTTATCTGAAAGATTTTCTATTGACGTAAAAGACTAAAATATTTATCCTACGCACAAATGTCTTCGATATATATTTCTGTTTTGACACAGTACCCATCATCACGTGGTATCAGCGAGGCCGTAACTCTAAAAAAAAGTATATATATATATATATATATATATTGATACACACCGCATTGCAAATGTCGGTAACATCACAATGAAGTACAACAGTACTCTGTTTAAATCCACACATAGCTCCTGTTCGTATCGAGCGTGCGCTACTATTCCAAAATTGTGAGCTAGCTTTAGCTCTCGCTGCGCCTCTGCTAGTCATAGATACTGCCTATATACTAAACATGCTTTACGATCGCTCGCATTCTCAATCGATGAATAGAAAAGAAAGAATAATAATAATTCGAAGAAACGGGCGAGACACACGATGTACGCAATCATCTTTATGAGCCTCTTTGCCTTTTTTTATGATATTCTAATTTTTAGATCACATGAATAAATGAAAGCCTGCACATTTTATATTTCTGTACGGTGTCCGTTTAGTATTATTTTTCTTTTATAAACAAACACTTACAATACACCTACATATATCTTGAGACATAGACATCGATACATTATTCAAGTCGTCTGCATCCTCATTTGTTTCCATATAAATTATTTCTTCACATCTTAACTAAAGTCAAATATTGGTACTCGAGCGAAATCGTGCTAGATGGAAAACTGTTTCACCACAATATTTAATCAGCGAAAACGTAAGTCAATACTTTTTGCATTGGGAATAGCTGTTCTCTATGCCGTTTATTATTTCAAACTGAATTCAACAATACCAACGACATTAAATATTCAAGCGACAAAAACAATTGCTCCTCAAATACCAAATCTGTCGAAGTATGTCAATATTATTGATCTACATGAAGATACAAAAGAAAACTTTACATGTATCGAAACGAAATATCTACTTCATATTGTTAAAACTACCATTTGCCTTCATGATACCCGAGATGCGGTGAGTAATGATATAAAGAAGAAGAAAATATGGGAAGAACGACTCATTACCGAAGTAATTAGCTTCTTAATTAAATATCCTCATATGGATTTCATTGATGTTGGAGCTAATGTTGGAAGTTATACCATGTTTGCAGCTTCGTTTGGTAGACGTGTGATTTCGATAGAATGCTTCAAGCCTAACATAAATCGGATTCGCAAGGCAGTGCAAATCGAAAACGTCCAAGACAAAGTTGTACTGGTTGGTAATGCTATCTATTCTGAATCAGGTAAAACTTTCAAAATGAATTCCGATCCTTTTAATGTTGGCGCACAAGCAATTATCGAAAAAGACACTGGAGAATATTCAAACGATGATATGTATGCTGTGACAACGATACGATTTGATGAAATTCTTCCAATACTGCAAGACAAAGACATTCGAAACGCTGTTATGAAAGTTGACATTCAATGGGCCGAGATTTTCCTATGCGAAACTGGTAAAAAAGTATTTGATTATGTCAACATACCTGTTGTACTAATGGAATGGGATGCGGTACCTCATGCTAAAGCTCGTATGGGCGTTGTTTTAAAGTTTTTTATTGAACGCGGATACGTCGCTACAAAAGATATGTGCGCTGATCTTAATACAGCCGATGCTTTTAATTCGTGGCCAGGCGATATTTTCTGGGTGAACATGAACCGATCACAAATTTGCTAAACAATAAAAACGTAATTCCTATTAGGGGTGGCACTTTATCTTTACTTAACTTTGAAAAAGTAAAGTAAAGTAAAGTAGTGAACTTTACTTTACCTGGTAAAGTAAAGCAGTGAACTTTACTTTATTCGGTAAAGTAAAGTAAAGTAAAGTAAAGTGACTTGTATTAAGTTAGGCTTATTGTTCATTTTCTAGGCCAGCATCAAGCTCTGATAACGCTGCAGCATACAAAAGTGTTCATCTATGAAAAATGTGACCTTTTCATCATTACTGTACTTTATTTTCCACTTTTTTTATGAATAAATCGTTCCAAAAATACTTTCATATGCTGCAGCGTTATTAGTGCATGATACTGGGCTAAAAAATGGGCAACAAACTCAACTTTATTTAATTCCCTTTACTTTACTTTACTTTACTTTTCGGGTAAAGTTGACTTACTTTACTTTACCGGGTAAAGTAAAGTAGCGAACTTTACTTTAACCGGTAAAGTAAAGATAAAGTGCCACCCCTAATTCCTATGCTGATAATCACTAATATTCTCAACTTTTGCTGTTCACCATTTAAATAAATCGTATTATTTTTCAATCATCGATTACGAGCTTAATAAAGTAACGATAAAATGTAGAGCTGGTATAACCAATGCATGTCATACTATTTATTGAAATTTTGAGCGCTGATCAGAGCTATGCTAACGAAAGATTGAAAAGATTTAAATTCACAGTTAAACGTAAGAATACATGAATCACAACAGAAGTTACAATTGAAGAAAATAAATGGTAGTTCTCCATATTCTGTTCAATAAATTTACTTCATAGCAGTTGCCATTATAATGCTAAAGTGCTATAGAAGTGAATTAGAGTGAGATAAGCGATAATGTGGCACCTGTTTTTTTAATACATGGCTCTTGTTTTGTTGATTTCAGGTTCGCAACAATCGTATCCTAAAGATAGGTGCATTTCAGCTGAATCTAGTGGTCCTCAGACACGTTCACACTGTATATTCTATGCTGGAAGAAAATATTACACTTCTTCTCAGATTCGATCTGATTTTTCGCATTGATATTTTCCTACAAGAGATAAATAAATACAGAATCGTTGTTGTCGGTATGGCTTCTTATAAGATCATAAACAAATTGCGTAAACCTCGACATTGATACAATCCATGATTGATATAGATAGTATATTGATTTCAAGAAAATTAAGATGCTGATGTGGCTACTGTTATATCAGTATAATCCGAAAAGACGAATATCTCTCCGTAAAATGTGCCTCAACCCAGGTCGTGGAGGTACGATGCGAAACGGCCGGAAAGCACGGGAAAGTGGAAGCAGTATTCCGGGCTGGAATTACCGGATTTTGTTTTCTGTGGATTTCGGTCAACTTCCAGTCAGAAAGCACAGAAAACTGATCGGAATCCACAAGAAAAAAATCCGGTAACTTCCAGCCAGGATACTGCTTCCACTTTCCAGCGCTTTCCCGTGTTTTCGGGACGAGACAAACGGGAATCGGGACAATTCAAAAAAATTAAATGTCCCGAATTTTTAAAATTACATAAAAACGTGTGATGTACTTTAAACTTGTTATTTATAATGAACATCTTAATGTTTAAATGGAAAAACTCACTGAAAACTGTTCATCATCATTATCTTTTCAGCTGTTTCTTCATATAATTATTGATTTCCTGTCGCCAATTTAATTTTTTTCTGATGTTACAGACGGTGTTGAGTCAGTTGAGTTTACTTTTTTTTACACACTTCAACAACTAAAGAATAAGTTTCATTTAAAACTCGCATATTTCTCTTAATAAATAACAAATTATTAATTTTATCTGTACATAAATGTGTATGGAAATTAATCGATAAGAAAATTGATCAACGTTAATTGGTTCATACGAAAATTAGTCGAATTTAATTTAAAAAGAAAACTTTCTAAGTAGAACTTGTAGTTGATAGTACTGAGATAAATAATGACAAAAAAATAATTTTCACACAATGATAGACTAATTGTTGATATAAAAGAGAGCACATGTGTCCCAGATATATCGAAGTTATTATAGACATACATTATCTCAAATAAGCTAATTCATTTTAAATAGCATCTATCGCAAAAAGCTCGGTTTGACTGTTCTAATAATGATTAGATTAAAATATTTTTCGTCGGCTATATAAATAGTTAATATACTATGGAAACAGGAGAGTACTATTTTTCCCAAATGTCTTCGCTTACTTCGAGCAGGGTTCAAAGTACCAGTTCTTATTTTTGATAAAAAAAAATTTATTTTTATCTATAAGTTTTCACTCTTCTTTTTTTCCTATTGATCAGGTAGAAAAGGTCTTTTGTTTTCTTTGATGGAACTACGCAACATTTAAACATCTTTTTGTCAACGGGATTTTACGGGACACGACAAAGTTTGTCCCGCAGGTCTCTAATTACTATCAATCATTCGACTATTTTTATGAGTGACTCTGTTGTACTCTCTGGAGCAATGCTTCATGGAAGGAATCGCCTTTTTCCATTGATACTCGTCTTAAAGAACGATTGACTAGCAGAGAACACAAATTGACTTGGAGTTCCAGCACAACAATGTGTATGATCTTATTGAAAACAATCTTTCATTTCTCTACACTCTTCAGTATTGAACGTGTTTTTATTTACATTCATTATTGCTTGTAACTTTGACTCAGCTTTCACTTGAATGTGACATATTCAATAGAATTGTGGAGACAGATTGTAGGCTCTCACTTAAATCATATACTATATGATACTCCAGCTAGAGAGGCATACGTCTCTAGATTGTGGATTGTCCCTTGATCTAGCATCGTAAAAAATATATTGAAAATAAAAAATAGATTATAAAGCTGTACAAAATGTTTTGAAGAATAGTTCTCTCAAAAGAATGATTCTATTAAATAAAACTTTCTGATTATCATAAGTGTGTATTTGAAATTTTTATGGATTGATTGATTTGTTTTTAATTATGAAAAATCTTATATTCATTAAGCTGTTTACGATAATTTACGTAGGAAATTGGACATTTTTAATTAAAATTAAAATTAAACGTTGAGCAACAATATTTTCGTTGGTTTGAAATCTTTTCAATAAATTACTTTGCATTCAAATAGATGCCTATTTACAGATGTTATGTTGTGGTGTTTCTTAAGGGTTCCAATGGAAACCGTTGCATACCGTTGCCACACTCTATTGAAGTAATGACGTTAAGAGAGAAAAAAAAGTCTCTTAATCAAATAATATCGTCTGCCCATCAAGATTTAAATGCTATGAACGAATTGCTCTCTTTATAAATAAAATTAGAAGAAAATGTTGTCACCTTTATGCGTCCCTTTTTTTAAAATGATCTCAAAAGAAAGCTCTAACCACTTTTCTCTAATCAATTTGCAAATTTCAAGACAAAATGAGTAGGATAGTGAATGCAGTTCTTAGTTATTGACAGAGATATAAAAAGTTCAAACGGAAGCACTATCTAAAGTTTGCCAATTTGAGTTTAGATGAGTCAAAACAATATGCTGCAGCACTCCTAATTGAATGTATTTAGGTTAATGAAACTTGAAATATGATGTTTCATACGATTGTTGCAACATTCTAGATTCCTATTTTTACTATTGCGACGGAACAAACGTAAAATTTTAGCTCTAATGAAAACATCTAGCTTCTTTATTTTCTAGACGTACATCATTTATTTAATAACGCAATGCATGTCAATACGGAGATCGTTCTTATTTACATAGTT